TATGGTCTCCATTGTAGTTCCTTTTCTCGGTTTAGCCAATGGGGGTTGTATAAGGTATCCCCAAGAAGGAACTACAATGGAGACTATAGGTACAATATCATGTGGGGCTTAAGGCTTAGGGTGGTTTATAGGGATAAAGCGCATAAAATACACCCCTATACCACCAAACCTACTTCTCGACACCCTCAAGTCCTCGTAGAATGCCAGGGAGTCATCGAGGTCGCGAACATGAAGCATGGCATGCCTCGAACCCAGTGAGGGTTGTTTGTGAGGGCGTCAGCAGGGCCTGAATCGGTCTGTCTAAGGGTTCTGCAGGGTTATGATAGGGTCTCTATGCTTTGGGTTTGAATATGTGGAACTCGGGAAGTGTTTTTAGGGATGAAGGCAGGTGCGTGAGTCAAAAATAAGTGTCCTGACAGGGGATCCTTAATCATAGCCATCACTATCCATGTCCCAATTTTGGGGCACTTGAAGTTTAGGTAGACAGTATCAAGTTTTGCCTTTGGGGAAAGGCCGTGAAACCCAGGCTCGCATCTCGCCGTCTGCATCATAATCTAAGGTTTGACAGATATGTTCAAAAAGGCCAAGCTCAAGGTTGACCTTCATCTCTGCTTTCGAACACCGTCCTACTGTACCTACAAAGCTCTTCCAAAGAAATACCCCTCAACCTGCCACCAAGTCTTTTGTGCAAGGGCCTAGGTTTCCATTGAGACCTTACGAATCAGTACCCCAAGCCACAAACCTTAGGGTTTAGGGTTTAGGGTAACATCTTGAACGCATAAGGCATAACCAAAAGTACAAGAATAAACCAAGGCAACATCGTCGGCCGACTAAATCGTCGCGATATTCCCCACAGTCTCTACATAGCGATACTACATAATCCCACAAGACTTATATTAACGATGAAGAGCCTTTGTATGACTTGATATGACGCCACCAGGGTGCAGCATCTTGTTCTCACTGAAATCTGCTGCGGCGCGCAGGATCTTTGATTTGCTCCTCCAGATGCTACAGAAGGGGCCAGAGGCGTGCAAGCCCTGCATATAGAGCCCAGAGAAATGTAGGTCAATACTGCGCAGCTGTATGCCCTTGCAATCCCCATTTTGGAATGATGATAATATTAAACAGCCCAAAGTGCGATTGTATTTATGACGGCACCCATATTCGCCATTTGGGGTTTTGGATTAGGATGTAGGTTTCAGGCTGACAGCTTTTTGTTTGCACTACCTTGACCTTCTGGAACCTTCGCTGTTTATCTTGTGAAAGCCGTTATTACAATTATCATCCCTACAGGACCTAAAAGAGCCAAGGCGAATTTCAAGATGAGACTCGGCAGAGCGCGCTGTGGTTGTTTGCCTGATCCTTCATGCCTGGCCCACAAACCAACCCCGAAATAGTAAGCGACCCTAACCCTAACCCCTAAACGGCACCCTACAACCCTAAACCCTAAATCCCAAACCCCCAGACCCTACATCCCTACTATAAGGGCCTTAATAATTAGAATAGGGTCGTGGGGCCCCTTATACTATACTTACAATAAAGAAACCCCAAAATAGTATTGGTAATTTTCTTAGGCCCCTATATTACATCCTAAACCTCAACCCTGCAACCCTGTAACTCAAACGCTGAAGACCAAGCAGTCAGACCACGAGTCTTCTACAAGGAGCTTCAGGGCTTAGGGCTTATAGGGTTCAGAGT